CTTTGCTACAAACATTTTACTCTCCATGTAATGAGGACTGGGTCTGCAACCATTTGTCTAGGTAAGTGCTCTGATCCAAAAGGATAATAAACTTCTCTTCCCTCTCCAAGATGATCACAGGGTTACACCTAGGCCCTTCAGTTAAGCTCCCAAGGTTTCAGAAAGGTGGGCACTGTTTCCCTGGGTATTTCCTTTTACAGGGGGGAACCCAGGCCTGGAAGACACCCTGAATTGTAAAAGCCAGAGACCCACAAGGCTGTCTGGCCCCTGGAGAGACTTTATTTACATTCTGGAAGTTTATAAGAGTGAGAACTCAGGATCCTTAACGTCTCCAAGGAGTCGAGATTTTTCTTCTTTCATTTGGCAGCAATGGGGAGGCAGCTGTCTTCTCCAGTGATACAAGTCTTAAGTCCGGCTTTCTCTTTGTCATTATTTACTTGTTAGTTGAATAATGATAATGTTTCTGACCCACAATACCTCAAGTGCACATTCAGGATCAAGTTAATAAAGATGAGTACTATAAAACCAATAATATTCATCCTCAATTGCCCTCTTGATTAGAAGAACAATGAGTTTTAGTGTGTATATTGGGAAGAACTTGTTCATTATAGAATTTAACTAGAAAAGGAAACAAACAAAACCATGACAGTATTATCACTTAATTTTGCTTCTGCCATTTAAATGGACTCTTTTCCAACATAAAGTTACTTCAACACGAAGAAAATAAACTCTCTTGGTATTTTCTCTTCAGGTGACAAGGCAACTGTTTGAGCCACTGGTTATGCAGCTGATTCACTGGTTCACTAACAATAAGAAATTTGAAAGCCAGGATACTGTTGCCTTACTAGAAACGATATTGGTGAGTAAGGGTTGACTTTTTTTCTGCTGTTCCTATTTTTCTACTTATATTTGGTATGTTTTTAGCACTTCAAGAAATGTTATCTGTCAAGATATCAAAATATAGCATTTAGCTACATCATATTTTTTCTTTTGTTTTAGAGAATTGGTGACATGCCATTTTAATAATCAGGATGCCATATTTATTTGTTTAAGTGATACTTTTAAATATCTGCAAGCAAATATTCACATTTTAATTAGTTTTCTGATTTTGGGGAGAATGGTCATAAATGTGACAAACTTGATCTATATTAAGACTGTCGTGGGGGGTTGTGGGTGGAAGGCGTGAATAAAATTGTTTTTTTTTTATCAGAACCCTTTTAGCAGTACCTATTTTAAAAAATATCTCTAGTGCAATAATTAAGGATTATTTTTAAGTTATCCAGTTTTCTCCTGCATTCAGATTCAACAACTAAAGGGCCCTAGAACAATAGCTTAGCATTTATGTAATACTATTCTGACCTTAGAGGTAGAATCATTAAGATTTGGTCACAAGTTCACTAAAGGCAGAGAAAATGAGGTCAGCTAAAGCCTCAGTGTCTTTTGAAACTTGTTTTATTATAATTTTCTGAACTTGTACAAATAACTTTACATTTGACCCATTGAATGTTATTTGATTTGATTTTACCTGTTATTTACCTATAATTTTTCTTTTTCCATATACTGACTTTGGAATCAAAAGTCCCAGTTAAACATATAGGAAGTTTGTCCAAACAAAGTCCTATCATTGCATCTTTTACAGATTGATTCTGATTTAAATCTGTGTGTTTCTTTTGTTTGAAATAAGTCAGAGGAAACAGGGGATTTGACAAGGGCATCCAGACAAAGGAGATAAAGGCATTAGGTGCTTGGTGTGTTTGTAAGAATTAGATCTGTTTTGAGTTTTGCTTGCATAGGAGCATTGTGCTGAGAAGGTGGGGCTAGGAAGGTGTGTTGGGTCAGAATAGCAGAATATTGTAGGTAGGTTGACCATACATTCTGGTTTTCCCAGGACAGTCCTGGATGTGCCTGTTGTGTATGTAACTATTAAGAGCAATCCTTTCACTCTCAGAGTGACCCTAATTGGATAGATGCCGTGTTGTGGGGAGTGGAGAGTTACTGAACATTCTTATATATCTACTAGAGGCCCAGTGCACAAAAATTTGTGCACTCGGGGGGGAAGGGGGGGGTCCCTCAGACTGGCCTGTGTCCTCTCGCAGTCTGGGACCCCTCGGGAGATAACGACCTGCTGGCTTAGGCCCGCTCCCGGGTGGCAGAGGGCAGGCCCAATCCCTAGGTGCAGCCCCTGGTCGGGCTCAGAGCAGGGCCGATTGGGGAGTTGGGGCGCCGCCCCCTGTCATGCACAGAGCAGGGCCGATAGGGAGGTTGTGATGCCACCCTCAGTCACGCTCAGGGTGGGGCCGATTGGGGGGTTGGGGCACCGCCCCCTGTCACACTCAAGGCAGGGTCGATGGGGAGGTTGCGGCGCCACCCCCTGTCACGCACAGAGCAGGGCCCATCAGGGGGTTGGGGAGCTCCCCACTGTCACGCACAGAGTAGGGCCGATAGGGGAGTTAGGGCAC